CCGTCCACTCCCCATCCCTGCTGGTACTTCAGCCAGTCAGAGGACAGCAGCAGCGGAAGAAGACCTTCGCACCACCCTGATCCTTTAAGCCAGTGCCTTGTTCAGCTCACCTTAAGAACCTTTGGCATAAACAGGCTCTCATAGTGCCACCTAAGCCTTTCTCCTCTGCATTGATTCAGACTTCCGTTTAATTCGGGGGGTTTAAAACAAAATTTCACATAAAACGAAACCTCCCCGAAATTCATTTTTTTTTAAATCAATCCAGATTTTGCAAGTTTCTAAACAACGCAGACCAGTTCTGATTTCCCTCATTTGTTGATTTGAGTCTACGGTTTAAAGCGATGCCCTAAAATACGCAGGTGTCTTGAGCACCGGCCAAAGGGGTGGGGTGGGAGTGAGCCGTATGACATCCAAGCCCAAAATAACCCACGGGACTCAGTTGGAAGCTCACAGAATTCTAAACCCTGAGGTAGCTTGACTCCCTATATAATTGCTGTGGAACTTAATAGGTGGTGTTCTTCATGTTGTGCAGCGCGTAGGGTTCTTGTTGTTCTTTGCCGTTCGTTGACAATTTAGTGCCGTTTTGAACATTCAAACTTTTATTTAGCGCAACGCTCTCAGAATATATTCCGTGCCTGCAGTCTCGCCCATTACATACTCTCTAGGGGAATGAAGTGGGTAGTAATTTATGCAGCCGTGGCAGGAAGTTTCTGCGGCATACAGATATACCACAAAATGCACAAATCTCTCTCTCTGCCCCTCTGCCTCCCTCCTTTCCTTGCCGTTAAAACTCGTCAGTGACATTCTGCCGAGTGGGATGAACGCATAACGGGGGAAACTTTAATAACTCCGGAGTCTCTTTCCACCCCAGAATTAGCAAGCAGATTACGTCATGCCTCTGATTTTTTAGGTTTGAAGGAGATAAGCAAACAACCCGAGGTGAATCGGACTCCGTCTGAGAGCAAACGAAAAGCTAGGTGGAGCTGTGGAGTAACACAGTAGCCGTGTTCGACATTCCTGCACATAGTTGATATAAAGGGAAATGGTTAAAGTCTTTTTTGGGGAGGGGGATGATTGTCTTTGGGGGGTTGGCTAATTTCCCAGGTGTTTTTCTTCTTCCATTTTATGTCCCTTCCGTGAAAAGCCCAAAACAAATGTGTAAAGTGCATTTTTGAACCACGATTGTTAGAGAATCAGCCCATTTACCTTCCCCTGCTCTAAACACAATCAACAAAGCAGACGATAGTACTGGCTCCTTGCAAACTGTGATTTGGAAACCGGGAGCCAGCCCTGGGAATCTCCTCCTCTCCAGGGAGATTTTTGCCTCTCCGCCCTTGACATTACAGTCTCACGCTACGTGTACCGATACAAGCCATGGTTCCCACAAACCAGATTCCTTCACAACCATGGTTTACAGACCCATTCCTGACTTTGGTTACAATCTCCTCTTTATGAGGGAACCACGACTTGCATTAGCGGCCATAAAATAAGAAACTGTGGTAAATGCCGAGAAGGGAACAGAGAATTCTGCGGTAAGGAAGAACTCCTCTGCTCTGAGCTCCTGTGAGGAAGGGGAGAATAAAAATGAACTAGATCAGGGATCCCCAACCTTTTTCAGCCTTCAGGCACCCTTGGAATTGTGGCATAGCGTGGTGGGCGCTGTCGCAAAATGGCTGCCACGGGAGGCTGAACGAGCCACAAAATGGCTGCTGCAGCTTACCTTCAGTCACACAGTGGAGAACCTTGCGTTATGGTGGCTGCTGCAGCAAAAGCGACATTAAAAGAAAAAGCTGCCCAGCCAGTCAGAAACACCTGGCGAACACCAGGAAAGGGGTTGGCAGGTGCCACCATGTTGGGGACATGCATAGCATTATAGACAATGACTAAGAGAAAGTCAGTTTCACATGAGCAAGCGTGTCTTTTTCACTTTGGACCTGGGATCAGGATCACAGTGACCATCAACATGCAGGTCCAGTGGCTTCGTATTTGAACAGGCACTTAGGCCTGATCTGCCAATCCTTACACCTTTGCATGTGTGTGTGAACAGTTGTGTGTGGATCAGACTTCCCATGACGCCCCTGTACGTTGGATTTCACTGGAGACACACAGTGTCTTTACCCATATCCATAGTGTCTCATTCCTGAAGACGACCATTTGAAAATATTCGTCTTGTCAGCTACACACAGCATCTTTGTCAGGTGGTTGAGCATGCACTCGGTTACATAAGAACATAAGAGATGCCAATGTTGGATCAGGCCAAAGGCCCATCCAGTCCAACACTCTGTGTCACACAGTGGCCAGAAATACCAGTGCCATCAGGAGGTCCACCAGTGGGGCCAGGACACTAGAAGTCCTCCCACTGTTGACACCCCCCCAAGCACCCCCCAAGCATCACTTGCCCCAGAGCCCCTATCTATAACTTGTGGCTAATAGCCACTGATGGACCTCTGCTCCATATGCTTATTTAATTCCCTTTTGAAGCCATCCATGCTTGTAACCACCACCACTTCCTGTGGCAGTGAATTCCAAGTGTTAATCACTCTTTGGGTGAAGAAGGACTTCCTTTTATCCGTTCTAACCCGACCGCTCAGCTATTTCATGGAGTGCCCACAAGTTCTTGTATTGTGAGAAAGGGAGAAAAGTACCTCTTTCTCTACCTGTTATTTCCCATGCATAATCTTATAAACCTCAGTCATGTCACCCCTCAGTCCTCGATTCTCCAAGCTAAAGAGCCCTAAGTGCCTTAACCTTTCCTCATAGGGAAAGTGTTCCAACCCTTTTATCATTCGAGTTGCCCTTTTCTGCACTTTTTCCAAAGCTATAATATCCTTTTTAAGGTGTGGTGACCAGAATTGCACACAGTATTCCAGATGAGGTCGCACCATTGATTTATATAGGGGCATTATGATATTGGCTGATCTGTTTTCAGTACCCTTGTTCCCTTGGCCAGCATGGTGCAGCGGACTCTAATGTGGGGAACCGGGTTTGATTCGCCTCTCCTCCTCACGAAGCCTGCCGGGTGACCTTGGGCCAGTCACAGTTCTCTCAGAGCTCTCTCAGCCCCACCTATCTCGCAAGATGCCTGTTGTGGGGAGAGGAAATGAGAGCCTGGTTGGTGCAATGGTTAGGAGCAGCAGACTCTGATCTGGAGAACCGGGTTTGATTCCCCTTTCCTTCACATGAAGCTTGCTGGGTGATCTTGGGCCAGTCACCGTTCTCTCAGGACTCTCTCAGTCCCACCTTCCTCACAAAGAGCCTCTTGTGGGGAGAGGAAGGGAAAGGCAATTGTAAGCCACTTTGAGACTCCTTAAGGTAGAGAAGACTGGGGTCTAAAAACCAACACCTCATTTCACCAGAGCTCCCCCCTCGTGCTGTGTTTCCAGGCGACCTCCAATGCCAAACAAGTTGTCTGTAGCTTTCTTCCCATCTATGTGTGCCATTAAGGAGTGTTCCTGCAATAATAATAATAATAATAATAATAATAATAATAATAATAATAATAATAATAATAATAATAATATACTTTATTGTCATTGTACATAGTACAACGAAATTAAGGTGCAATCATTCGGTGATCTACAAGCATACTCATATACACTCACACAACCATTAGGGTTCACATTGCAACTTAACCACCAATGTCACCCAAATTCCAACTTCATGCAGCATTTAAAGCAATAATAGCTCTCGAATAAAAACTGTTTTTTAATCTGTTTGTCCTTGTTTTGATTGTCCTATATCTTCTACCCGAAGGCAGCAGTTCAAACAAGGAGTGTTCAGGATGTGACAAATCCTGCAGAATGTTCTTTGCTTTTTTCAAGCATCGAGAATTATACAATTCCTCCAGGAACGGGAGAGGGCAGCCAATAATCTTCTGGGCTGTGATGATAACTCTCTGGAGTTCTTTCCTCTCCACAGCCGTACAGCTGGCAAACCAGGCACAGACGCAGTATGTTAAAATGCTCTCTATTGAGCAACGATAGAAGGACATCAGTATTTTCTCACTCAAGTTATTTTTCTTTAAAAGTCTGAGAAAAAAGAGCCTCTGCTGGGCCTTCTTCACCAGAGCAGTGGTGTTAGCGCTCCAGGTCAAGTTTTGCTCAATAATCACTCCCAAAAACTTAAAAGTAGCCACCCTCTCCACACGTTCTCCACCAATAAACAGTGGCTGTATGTCCGTTTTGTTCCTCCTATAGTCCACTACCAATTCCTTGGTTTTGGTGGTGTTGAGGATCAAATTATTTTCCCTGCACCAAACACAGAGCCGTTCCACCTCGTCCCGATAAGCAGACTCATCATTCCCAGAGATGAGCCCTACCACAGTGGTGTCATCAGCAAACTTGATGATAGTGTTACTGGGGTGGGTGGGGATACAATCCTGTGTATAGAGGGTATAGAGCAAGGGGCTCAACACACAACCTTGTGGGGAACCGGTATTAAGGGTAAGGGCTGTGGACATATAGGACCCTACTCTGACCCTTTGGGGGCGGGCTGTCAAAAAGTTCAAAATCCAGAAACATATGGAGCTGGAGAGTCCAAGGCCCTCCAATTTGGACACTAATCTATCTGGGAGGATGGTATTAAAGGCAGAACTAAAATCCACAAACAACAGCCTCACATAACTCCCCGGCTGCTCCAGATGTGACAGAGCAGTATGCAGAGTAGTGGCGATGGCATCCTCTGTGGATCTGTTTGCCTTATATGCAAACTGGTGACTATCCAGTGTAGATGGAAGACATGAGACGATGTGACTACGTACCAATTTCTCAAAACACTTCATCACAACTGGAGTGAGTGCAACTGGTCTATAATCCTTTAGACTGCTGATTGTGGATTTTTTGGGCAGGGGAACAATAATTGAGTACTTTAGGCAAGACGGAACAATAGACTGGTGTAAGGACCGATTGAAGATCTTAGTAAAGACCCCTGCCAACTGGTCAGCACACCAATGTGTCTGCATGTGTTCTCTTTTTGACAAGAAATGCCTTGATGTTTTGTAGAAGCTGGAGCTGGACCGGTTTATGCTTTACGCTCACGGGCCTGACCTTTGCCGAGAATCGGATCTGCGCCATGCCATGGCCAACTGCTTTGAAGCACTGATAGGTAAAACCCCTGCACTGCATTTTGTGTGTGTGCGTGTGAGAGAGAGAGAGACAGAACCCTAACGAGGGCTCAAGAGTGCCACCAAGACCATCTGAGATCTTGGACCCTTGGGGTTTACATTAGACTAACCCATTCATTTCCGTTCCACATTGGACCAACCTGCCAGACTCGATCCCTTTCGTATAAAGGATTGTCCAGTTTGGATTGGACTGCCAATTTGTCATGGAAATTCAGAGCAATTACCAGATGTTTGGTGGGGGAGGGACTGTGTTTTGTAAGTCTGCAATAACAGTAGCCTCTGACATCAGGAATGGGGCTTTGTGTGGGATTGGCTAAATCAGCTTGTCACTCTTAGGGAGGAGGTTGGCTTAGGGCCAGATTCCATCGTCTGCAAATGTCTGGACCTTTGGGCCTTTCCCGTGTCCTCAGCAGAAACTAGCTGAAGACAAGGGGGTGGATGAGGTTAAGGACTTCTCCAACGTTTTGCTACTGCAAGAAACCCTGCCCGTGCTTTGAGGAAACCCTGCACATGCCTAGTTGAATGGTGGTGGCTGGTTACCAGGTGCTTTCCAGGGACCTTTGGTCTAAGGGACATCCCCAGCATGGAAGGGCACCTTCCCCTCCTCCTGGCCTAACAATTGTTGTTGTTCAGTCGCACAGTCGAGTCCGACTCTTCGCGACCCCATGAACTAGATCCCGCCAGGCCCTCCTGTCTTCCGCTGTCCTCTGAAGTTTGCTCAGTTTCATGTTCGTTGCATCTATGACACTGTCTAACCATCTCATCCTTTGCCGTCCCCGTCTTCTTTGACCTTCAATCTTTCCCAGCATCAGGGTCTTCTCCAGTGAGTGCTCCCTTCTCATTGGGTGGCCAAAGTATTTGAGCTTCATTTTCATTATCTGGCCTTCCAGGGAACAGTCAGGGTTGATTTCTTTTAGGATTGACTGATTTGATCTTCTTGCAGTCCAAGGGACTCTCAAGAGTCTTCTCCAGCACCATAGTTCAAAAGAATCTATTCTTCGGCGCTCGGCCTTCCTTATAGTCCAACTCTCGCAGCCATACATGACTACTGGGAATACCATTGCTTTGACCATGCGGATTTTTGTTGGCAGGGTGATGTCTCTACTTTTTATCATGCTGTTTAGGTTCGCCATCGCTTTCCTCCCAAGGAGCAGGCATCTTTTAATTCCATGGCTGCAGTCACCGTCTGCAGTGATCTTGGATCCCAGGAACGTGATGGGGCCGGATGCCATGATCTTAGTTTTTTTGATGTTGAGCTTCAAGCCCACTTTTGCGCTCTCCTCTTTTACCCTGAGCAAGAGGCTCTTTAGGTCCTCTTCACTTTCTGCCATTAGAGTGGTATCGTCTGCATATCTGAGGTTGTTGATCTTTTCCCCAGCAATCTTAATTCCCGCTTGTGATTCATCCAGGCCAGCATTTCGCATGATGTACTCTGCATATATATTAAATAAGCAAGGTGACAATATACATCCTTGTCGTACTCCTTTTCCTATGCTGAACCAATCAGTTGTTCCATATCCGGTTCTAACTGTCGCTTCTTGGCCCTTATACAGGTTTCTCAAGAGACATGTGAGGTGGTCTGGTACTCCCATCTCTTTAAGGACCTGCCATAGTTTGTTGTGATCCACACAGTCAAAGGCTTTAGCATAGTCAATGAAGCAGAAGTAGATGTTTTTCTGGTACTCTCTTGCTTTCTCCATAATCCAGCGAATGTTGGCAATTTGATCTCTAGTTCCTCTACCTCTTCGAAACCCAGCTTGTACTTCTGGCAGTTCTCTATCCACGTACTGTTGAAGCCTAGCTTGTAGGATCTTGAGCATGACCTTGCTAGCGTGTGATATGAGTGCAATTGTGTGATAGTTTGAACATTCCTTGGCATTGCCCTTCTTTGGGATTGGAATGTATACTGACCTTTTCCAATCCTGTGGCCACTGTTGCGTTTTCCAAATTTGCTGGCAAATTGAGTGCAGCACTTTAACAGCATCATCTTTTAAGACTTTGAATAGCTCAGCTGGAATACCATCACCTCCACTAGCTTTGTTGTTAGTAATGTTTTCTAATGCCCATTTAACTTCACATTCCAGGATGTCTGGCTCGAGGTCAGTGATTATACCGTCGTGTTTGTCAAGGACATCGAGGTCTTTCTTGTATAGTTCTTCTGTGTATTCTTGCCATCTTTTCCTAATCTCTTCTGCTTCTGTTAGGTCCCTACCATTTTTGTCCTTTATCATGGCCATCTTTGCATGGAACGCAATTTTGTTGACCGTAATTTCCCATTTCACAAAGGCTCCATGGGGATGCCACTTGAGGTGGCACCCCTCCATGCCGCTGGTGTGCTAATCGCCTCCCCGAGGTCCTGGGAGAGCGACCGCCATCGCCAGTCCACAAACTGGAAGTCAAGACCAATAAGATTTTCAAGGTGCAAGCTTTGGAGAGTCAAAGTTCTCTTTGTCAGATATGAGCATTATTATTTATTAAAATCTCCGAATCGCCCCATCCTTGAATACACGGGGCTCTGGGCAATTAAAACCTACAAAATACAATTTAAAATCCACAAATGTTAATCCTAATTATAATCTCTCCAGATGGTATCTAAAATTTTAATCTAAAAACTGCTCTGGACTGTCCTTCTGCCTTGTGGGGAGGAGGCTGAAGTGGGCAAGGTGGAAGAAAAGAGCTTTCGCATCCGATGAAGCTTTTGAGCTTTTTAAAGCTTTTGTATCTGATGAAGGGAGTTTGACTCTCAAAAGCTCATACACCAAAAATCTTGCTGTTCTCTAAGGTGCCACTGGACCCAAATCTAGCTGTTCTCCTACAGACCAGCATGGCTACCCTCTGAAGCTTACTTGGTATATGTTCCACTGAAGTCTGTGGGACTCTGTGGATACACCCTTCCCGCAAGTTTCTTGCGGGTCCCCACTTGTGTTACTACTAAAGAGGAAAACCCCCAGGAGAAAGTGAAGGATAGGAACAGATGATACACTTGTTCATTGTAACTTGTGAATATGGCTAGAGTGGAGGAGCAAACTAGCCAAGTGAAGAAGACAATCAAAAATATATATATTGGCAAAGAAACAAGGGATAAGAATGGGGCAAGGAAAGAATCACAAGCAACCTCTGGACCAAACTAATGAGTGTTATGAAAAGAAGATACAGATGAAGGAGGAAAAGAGATGGTCTAAGGAAGAAACAGGCAAAGACGGGAAAGGTGATGGAAAATCTCCACAGAAGTCATAAAGAAATCAAGAATGTGTCCAGCCAAATAAATGGCAGGCAAGAGGAACCACAAAGATGTAAGTAGTACAAGAAAGTTTTGGATGGGAGATTGGTTATCAGAATCAAGATGGATAATAAAGTCTCCCCTTGACAACGGGAAATGAAGAGACAACAAACGAATATATATATATAATAAAAGATAGTTATGCAGAAATTAAAATCTCAAAAAAGTGTAACTATTTAGTACTCAGGAGAAGAATAAGAAGAGGGAAAAGGTATGGAATAGAACTGCCACAGGAGAAGGACCCTACATTCAAACCCGCAAGTTAATTGGCTGCGAGGAGTGGGGAATAAAAAAATGAACGAGATGAAATTGCGGCAGGAATAACAGTATCTAACGGGGAGATCCATGATTCAGTAAGAGCAAAACAAGAAAAAACGATGAGAGATAGCAAGATCATTAAATGCAACAGCCTTATTAGCTGCAGAACGACAGTTTAATAAAGCACAAGAAAATAAAGATGCGATCTAAGAAATTGGAACAAGATTATCATAGCAACGTCGTCGAAAAATCGGACCGAGATTAAATGCAATATCACTGGCAAGTCAAAGGGAAAACACGGGGGAATAAATTACACATCAAATACCAAAACATAATTTCAGATCAAGTGAAACATCTGAGGTATAAGAGAACAATGGTAAAAATGCTACAAGCAGTGTAAGACTAGGGAAGGGAGGAAGGAAGAAGGGCCCAGGATCCTACCTTGTCCCAAATTAGGTGATTTCAGATCATGGCCCCTAAACCCAGATAGACGAATATGTGTTCATAAAGATGTTAGCATATTGTGGGGCCATGCAGGTACCCATGGCATTGCATTGCAGTGATTGGCTCAAGCTCCCCCTAAAGGGTTTTTGCCATTGGTATGCATAGATCGGAGCTGCGGTGGCTCAAGTGGTTAAGACGCTGAACTGCAGGCTGTGGAAGGTCAGTAGTTCAGCAGTTCGAGACCCGGGTGTGCCGCATGACGGAGTGAGCTCCCGTCTCTAGTTCCAGCTCCTGCCAACCTAGCAGTTCGAAAGCAAGAAATTGCAAGTAGATAAATAGGTACCACTTCGGTGGGAAGGTAACAGCATTCCGTGCGCCTTGGCGTTTAGTCATGCCGGCCACGTGACCACGGAAACGTCTTCGGACAGCGCTGGCTCTTTGGCTTTGAAACGGAGATGAGCACCGCAACCCTAGAGTCGAACTCGACTGGCTTTCGAGCAAGGGAACCTTTACCTTTTCCTTTTATGCATAGATCACCCTCCCCCCTATTGCCCTGGAAATCAGAGCAAAAGGCGGGAAAGAGCAGGAAAGGAAGCCCTTTGCAGTTTAACCCCCCTCCCAGCTGCTATTCGGCAAAACCAGATAATGCCGAATACTTCCCAAATATATTCGGGATTCTCTATTTGGCTGCCGAATAGGCACCAGAGAATCTTATTCGGCTGAATGCTTATATCCTAATACTACTGATAAGGTGTTATTCGGGGACATATTCAGATCGGCATTGGCCGAATGCACAACCTTAATCCTAACAGTACAGAGGAGAGGCCTCAAGGGACCAGATACCTCCCTCTTCCCTCTTTTTCCTGTCACCCCATAGGCTCTAGCTGTTGGTCTTGCTATCTGAGGCTGCTTGTTAGTCCAGCTTCACTAATGGGGAGGAGCGCTAGACAGACCTGAGGGTGGCAAGAAACAAACGGTCTAAGGGTCGGGTTGGGTGTGAAGTAGCGTCCTATCTCTCAGCCTTTTGAGAAGCTTTTTTTACCATGCGTTATCCTCTTGAATGTGTTTGGAAAATACATTCTAAGCTTTCTTTCAAGGTAACAGCTCTATGGTTTCTGCCTTGGGCTATGTTCTGTTTCCTCAGATCAAGATTTTTTTTTATAAAACCATCCTTTTTAACTTTGCTTTGCTCTTCACAAGTGCTTTGATGTTTAGCATTTTAAAGGAAGCAGGGGGGAAACGAGTGAGAGGCGGCTTCTGCGGCATGGTTCAAATGCGCCAGCTTTCCCTGATGGTCTGGTGGGCTGGGCTGTTCTTCATGACAGAGGTGGTGTTTGTTGTTTGGCACGGGCAGATGTCTGGCCCAAGAAGGCAAATCTCTCCCTTCCCCATATCCATATGCATCACAGTATGTAGAAGAGGGGAGGAGGGGCTGTCTGAGGGGCTGTCTTGAGTTTGAAGTCTGCTGAAGCTACTTGTCAGTGTGATTTGCCTTTCTGGCATTTTATGTCTCTGTTAGAACAAATATGACCATTTGTTTTTGGTAAGGGGATGCCAGCCTCCAGGTGGGACCTGGGGATTTCCCAGAATTACAGCTCATGTCCAGACTACAGAGATCAGTTCCCCTGGAGAAAATAGATGCCTTGGAGGGTGGAATTTATGACACTGTACCCCACTGAGTATGGTGCTGGAGAAGACTCTTGAGAGTCCCCTGGACTGCAAGAAGGTCAAATCAGTCAATCCTAAAAGAAATCAACCCTGACTGTTCCCTGGAAGGCCAGATAATGAAACTGAAGCTCAAATACTTTGGCCACCCAATGAGAAGGGAGCACTCCCTGGAGAAGACCCTGATGCTGGGAAAGATTGAAGGTCAAAGAAGACGGGGACGGCAAAGGATGAGATGGTTGGACAGTGTCATAGATGCAACGAACATGAAGTTGAGCCAACTTCAGAGGACGGCGGAAGACCGGAAGGCCTGGCGTGATCTGGTCCATGGGGTCGCGAAGAGTCGGACTCGACTATGCGACTGAACAACAACAACAACCCCACTGAGGTCCCTATCCTTCCCAGGTTCCATGCCCAAATCTCCAAGAGTTTCCCAACTTGGAGATGGTAACCGTATCCCCCATTCCCCGCCAGTGGTGGTGCTGGGGACCTGGTAGCCCTGCAAGGGAGTCACAAATCCGCACGAATGGACCAGATGGTACTGCTCAAGTATTTGTTGTATGAGAACATGCGAGAGGCACAGAAGTAGGGGGAGAAGGGAGGAAACAAAGGTGGGGGAGAATGCCCCATCCCTTTACATTTCTTGCCGGTCCCCACTTGTAGTTTCTAATAGCGAGAGGGAGTCTTTTAAAATTAAACTGTAAACTTCCATCTGTTTTTCTCATCATCTCAAGGGCCAGAGGTTCTGATGATTTGCTGATTCATTGGAAGGTGGATGATTAGTCCTCTAAACAATGTTTCATATGTTGACAGCCCTGGATTTAAGGATTTGGACCAATGTTCCCTCTAAGCTGTGCAGTCTTGGGAGCAAAAATTCTACTTTGTGAGCTACTGACATTAAAGTTGTGAGTGAGTGATTTAGCTACTGCATAAATTAGTTTGCTCTGGAGCCACATCCCTTCCTGAGCCAAGACAAAAATGTGTGAGCCGGAGGCTAAAAAACTGTGAGCTGGCTCACACAAACTCAGCTTAGAGGGAACACTGGTTTGGAGCCTCGTGACAGGGCACCTGAGGGAAGATGGGAAAGGCACAGGACCTGTTTCATTTGAGGAAATGAAAGTTTTCAGCAGAAAGTATTCAAAAGCCAGAAAAATTATTTATTAAGGTCTCTGAAGGGTATGGAAGAATCAAAGAGGCTTATTACAGCAATGCAGATAAAGGTTAGGATACATTTTCTTTTCTTTTTTTTAAGTACCCGTTAAAGGTAAAGGTAAAGGTTCCCTTGCTCGAAAGCCAGTCGAGTCCGACTCTAGGGTTGCGGTGCTCATCTCCGTTTCAAAGCCGAAGAGCCAGCGCTGTCCGAAGACGTTTCCGTGGTCATGTGGCCGGCATGACTAAACACCGAGGCGCACGGAACGCTGTTACCTTCCCACCGAAGTGGTACCTATTTATCTACGTGCAATGTCTTGCTTTCGAACTGCTAGGTTGGCAGGAGCTGGAACTAGAGACGGGAGCTCACTCCGTCATGCGGCACACTCGGGTCTCGAACTGCTGAACTATCGACCTTCCACAGCCTGCAGTTCAGCGTCTTAACCACTTGAGCCACCGCAGCTCCTTAAGTACCCATTGGGTACACTTTTATTATTTTTCACATTATACACAACAAACATACATACAACATATCACAAACAACCACTTACAAACATAAAACATACAATGAGATCAGTATACTTTCTTATAACTCTATTACCATATTAAAAAGTTTCTTTAGGTTTGTTTAAGTTTGTTTAAGTGTTAGGATACATTTTCCAAATGCAAGAAGCACTGAGCTGTAGAACTAGTGGCCTAGGGCTGTTGTGGAACCCTCTACCCATTTCCAGAAGACCTGAGATACATCTGGGTGCTAAATCTGTGGAATCCAAGATGGGTCGCCGTGTTAGTCTGTTCGTAGCAGTGGAAAAGAGCAAGAGTCCAGCAGCACCTTGAGGACTAGCAAAATTTGTGGCAGGGGAGGAGCTTTCGTGAGTCACTGCTCACCTCTTCAGGTACCGTATCTGAAGAAGCAAGCAGTGTCTCACGAAAGCTCCTACCCTGCCACAAAAGTTGTTAGTCTTTAAGGTGTCGCTGGACACTTGCTTTTTTCTGGGGAGTCCGGTTATGCCCGTTCTTAGACCGGACATCCTGGGTCAGCCTTTCTCGTGGGATGGTTATCTAATATAGAAAAGATATTGTTCTTTCTTCCCCTCACCCCTTCCGGAACAGTCCGTCTCATTTTTCTGAAGTGTCTTCTCGGGTTTACAGCATCTCGTTGGCAGTCTGCTGCCTTGCAAATTCCGGGATATTAATGCAGGTACGTTCTGTCCTGCAGGTGCAGTTTATTTGGAAGGAAGTCTGGAAGAAGCCAAGCATCTGTTTGGGCGCCTGCTCTTTAACGACAAGGTATACTTTCTATTTATGGCCTGCCTGTGTGTCGCAGCATGCGTTTGTGCTTTGGGAACAGTTCTTCGTCAGCTTGGGGTGTGTTAAAGCGAGTGCCTCGAAGCAACGTTGAAGGAAAGGGGATTCTTCCTCTTGAGACTGTATTGGTGTCACCTAGCAAAAAGCTTGGCGGTTTGTAATAAAGCACATACTTAATTCTCTGAGTGGGCGTGTGTGTACAGATACTTGGGGATGCTTGACCCTACCTGCCTTCACAGCTTTTCCTGTCCAGTCCTTTCAGCGGCTTTGACATGAGGAATACTCACCGAGGGCTGACTGGGGGAAAGAAGATGAGGGTGAAGTGGTCTTTGGTAAAAAGAAAAGTGGCCGTGTGAGAAGTATTCTGAATGATGCTGTAAGCTGCTGATCGTGGAAACATCAGACGGTGCAAATCGTCAGCAAGCTGGAGACCACTTGACCAGTGTTCCCTCTAAGCTGAGTGAGTGTGAGCTAGCTCACAGCTTTTTAGCCTCCGGCTCACCCATTTTTGTCTTAGCTCAGGAAAGAGGGCTCCAGAGCAAACTGATTTTACGCAGCAGCCAAACTACCTGCTCACAACTTTAATGCCGGCAGCTCACAAAGTAGAATTTCTGCTCACAGGACTCCACAGCTTAGAGGGAACATTGCACTTGACCAGCGGGCTTATGAAGCAGAGACATACTTAGTTAGCTCAGAGAGGCTGAAGCTGATGCGTTGCCTGTAACCCGCTGCCTCTCCCTTGCAGCTGAAATATCCAAATTTGAATGGTCCTCAACTCAGGAAAGGAGGAGGAGGAGATTGGATTTATCCCCCCGCCCTTCACTTGGAGTCTCAGAGCGGCTTACAAACCCCTTTCCCTTCCCCTCCCCACAACAGACACCCTGTGAGGTGGGTGGGGCTGAGAGAACTCTGACACAATCTGCTCTTTTTCAAGGACGGCTGTGCCAGAGCTTGTGACTGACCCAAGGTCACATCGGCAGGTGCAAGTGGAGGAGTGGGGAATCAAACCCGTTTCTCCCAGATTAGAGTCCGCACACTTAACCACTACACCAAACTGGCTCCCAGAAAGGAGACTGGGGTGGGCTTATACTGGATGTCCAGTAGACAGCATCCGTGGGGTGAATGGTTAAGCACACTTGCTTACTTTGCAGCGGAGAAGCACTCACCAAATTTCCCATATTTGTGTTTGCTGCCTGTGGAGGAACAGCTCTACTGACCCATGAGCGCTGTTCCGTTCAGCCTTCCAGGGTGTCTAGGTGCCCAGAGACCATCCCAATTTGAGAGCCAGTTTGGTGGTGTGGTTAAGTGCGCGGACTCTAATCCGGGAGAACCGGGTTTGATTCCCCACTTCTCCACATACAGCTGCTGGTGTGACCTTGGGCAAGCCATAGTTCTGACAAGAGCTGTCCTTGAAAAACAGCGGTTTCTGTCAGAGCTCTCTCAGCCCCACCTACCTCACAGGGTGTCTGTTGTGGGGAAGGGGAAGGAGTTTGTAAGCTGCTCTGAGACTCCTTTGGGTAGTGAAGGGCTGGGTATAAATCCAATCTCTTCTTCTTCTGTCTGGTGATGCGCCATTCTCCCAGCTCTCCTGACCCATTGAGGGGTTTCCCTCTCTCGCTTCTCCTTCGGTACAGTGCCACCAACTGGTCGTTTTAGGAATTACCAAGGAGAGGGCCTGTACTCCCAGCCTCCCTTCCTGTGTCGCTGTTCTAAGGCCCCACCTAGTGTTTGCGCTTTCCACTACCCACGACTGGTTACCTTGAGAACGGCTTATCACGCTTGTGTAATCCTGGGGAAATAGCAATTTATTTACTTATTTTATTTACATTTATACCCCACTTTTCCCCCAGTGGGGACCCAAAGTGGCTTACACAACTCTCCTCTCCTCCATTTTATCCAGTTTCACAAGTGACCACTTCCCTTCCCCTGGCAGCCTTTTTAAATAGCATGTTTGAACAATGGTGGTCTGTCTGATACAGGGCAAATACCAGTATTCAAAAGAGTAAAGAATTTATTAAAAATAAAGATCCTCCACAAACATTGTCTGCACAGCAATGGATTGAGCAAAGACTACAAAAGAATGGTGCAGAACATGCAATTCCCCTGTCCCTTGCTCTGTACATGCCCTAGCTAATCTTGTTCTGGGGTAGGCTCTTTTAACGTAGAAGTTACAAAGTTCAAAAAACTTCCCATTACCTTGAAGTCTTTGTGTAGGCAGCCAACGCTTTGTCTGCTCCACGTGGTAATGGCAGCCATCAAAGGTAATGGAGCTCAGTCTTGAGAGCGGCTTCCTCCAGATGTACTCAGCTACAACAGACCTCTCAAAATGAGCCCCTCTCCCTCCATGCTAGTGGATTTTATCTCTTTTTGTGGATCGATAAATCCTTTTTCCTGCTATATCCAGGAAGATATAGCAAAGTCCCTCACTCCCCCAAGTCTCTGTGTCAGCTTCTAGGTCTAAGCCAACCATTTCGTTGCCTCTGGCCAGGACGTCCATTAGCATTTCCACAGCTTTGATGGCTTACACTGCAGGCTGTGTAAGGTCGGTAGTTCAGCAGTTTGAGACCCGGGTTGCCGCATGACGGAGTGAGCTCCCGTCTCAAGTTCCAGCTCCTGCCAACCTAGCAGTTCGAAAGCAAGAAATTGCAAGTAGATAAATAGGTACCACTTCGGTGGGAAGGGAACAGCGTTCCGTGCGCCTTGGTGTTTAGTCATGCCGGCCACATGACCACGGAAAGGTCTTAGGACAGCGCTGGCTCGTCGGCTTTGAAACGGAGATGGGCACTGCAACCCTAGAGTCGGATTCGACTGGCTTTCGAGCAAGGGAACCTTTACCTTTACCTTTTTTACTTGGGCAGTACTTGGCAGCAACTGACTTACCCCTTCCTGCCTGTCTTCTGCCAGGAGAGAGATTTTTTAAAAAAACTAAAGGTGGGGGGTTTTTTTGTCAAGCTCAAACCCTGAAATAAAATACATTTCTCCGCACTACGTGAAGTGTGGATTGCTGTGAGTCACTCCATAATCTCTCTTTAGATCTCTCTCTCTCTCCTTGACAGTCTTCCAGTTTCCCTGTTTCCTCCTTATCTTTCCATCTTCCTTCCTGCCTGCTACTTCTCCGCATCCTCTTCCAGCCCTTTGGGAAGCACTCCTCATTTCAGACCTGTTTCTGCAATCAGCTCTGCCTTTGTTTTGACCTTTGCTTTTCACGCCGCGGGCGTCACAGTGGAGGGACTTTGCATCTGCACAGGGCTATGAAACTGTAGAAAGCTCTCACACGTACATCTACAGGCGATCCTGTTTTGGGCATACCCGTGCGCTACCCACAGCGCATGTTCATATTATGTTGCCACGTCCAGTGTTCCCTCTAAGCTGAGTTAGCGTGAGCTAGCTCACATTGTTTTAGCCTTTGGCTCACACATTTTGGTCTTCGCTCAGGAAGGAGGGCTCCAGAGCAAACTGATCTATGCAGCAGCCAAATTGCTTGCTCACAACTTTAATGCCAGGAGCTCACAAGGTAGAATTTCTGCTCACAAGACTCCACAGCTTAGAGGGAGCATTGGCCACGTCTGATTAATTCATGTTCTGATTGTTCCCCTAAGTAGAGGGAAGATTCCTCGTTGGCTGGAATCGCTCTCCTTGCTTTCTGGCAGAGGCAGCGTAAGCCGTTGCCCAGTGCATGTCCCCCCCCCCCCGCCTAATTTAACGAGAGCCGAATGGAATCACTAAAGGCAGTTCCTCTGAGTAACACCCTCTTTTTAAAAAATTAGGTTGTGAACGCTATTGAATTTGCAGTAAGCAGAGTCAGCATCTGCGACCGTTTCAGTATTTTGCAGGATGACACTTCATTTAGCAAGTGTGGATTTCGTTAAGCGGCTCCCTTCAGCTTTTAAAAAGTGTCTCTCCGTGTTTGCAGGACCTGCGAGAAGTGTGGCTCAATTATCCCCTACACCCCCTCCAAGTAAGTGTATCTCTTTTGGACTCATGCGTTTCAGAGTGTCCTTTTGTTCCCGAGGATGCTTTTTTCCAGATGAGCATTTAGCTGTGTTGACATCTCAGAATGCTTAACATGCACTTGGGCCTTGGTGGGTATCCGTTGTTTGCACTGAACTCTCCCTGGAAGCTAAAATGATTAAACTGAGGCTATGGTACTTCGGGCACATTTTGAGAAGGCGAGACTCACCGGAAAAGACAATCATGCTAGGAAAAATTGAAGGAAGCAGGAAAAGAGGGAGACCCAACATGAGATGGAATGGCTCAGTCAATCGAAAACTTTATTTGTTCAAATAAATGGGTTTATTGAATTAAAAAAGGAAGCCACAAAGGCCCTCCGTTTGCAAGGCCTGAGCAAGACTGCTACAACAGGACATTTTGGAGGACATTCATCCGTAGGGTCACCATAAGACAGGAGCGACTCGATGGCACTTTACGCACACGTGAGTGTCCGGCTCCACGAGTGGGGAGCTGTGCAGACAGGCAGCGTCCAGTCAAATGACAAGTACGCCAAAACAACCACACGGCAATTAGATGCAAGAACGATATTCTGATGGCCTTCTTCAGTGGCAGTTGCCCAGATGAAGAAAGGGCTGTTAGACCTTGGAGCCTTTACGTCATATGGTGCCCCAGGACTTGGCTCTCTTGTGTCACCTGGTTTTGTTTTATTTATTTATTTATTTATTTCATGCCCCGTCTTCCCTACCAAGAGAGACTCAGGGCAGTTTTTGCCAGGCCAGGAGGATGCTGTAGATGTGGTGGAGGAAGTTACTGTTCGTTTGAACTTCTGTTTGACAATAAGTCACAAGAACATAAGAGAAGCCAGTGTTGGATTAGGCCAGTGGCCCATCCAGTCCAACACTCTGTCACACAGTGGCCAAAAATACCAGGTGCCATCAGGAGGTCCATCAGTGGGGCCGGGACCCTAGGAGCCCTCCCACTGTTGCCCCCGCCCCCCCCAAGCACCAAGAATACAGAGCATCACTTGCCCCAGCCTGAGAGTTCCTATCTACACCTTGTGGCTAATAGCCACTGATGGACCTCTGCTCTTAAGAACATAAGAGAAGCCAATGTTGGATCAGGCCAATGGCCCATCCAGTCCAACACTCTGTATCACACAGTGGCCAAAAATAACAGGAGCCATCAGGAGGTCCATCAGTGGGGCCGTGACCCTAGAAGCCCTCCCACTGTTGCCCCCCGGCCCAAGCACCAAGAATACAGTGCATCACCTGCCCCAGCCTAAGAGTTCCTACGTATACCTTGTGGCTAATAGCCACTGATGGACCTCTGCTCCATATGTTTATCCAATTCCCTCTCGAAGCCGTCCATGCTTGTAGCTGCCACCACCTCCTGTGGCAGTGAATCCCCATGTGTTAATCACTCTTTGTCTGCACAGTCTTAGAGGAGCAGGATTGCTGCCTTCCAGTTGGGAGGGATACCTCTTCCACTGCAGGGAGCATACAGGGGTTTTTTTTATCATCTCAAATAATATAATTTGTATTCTGTATTTATATCATCAGGGTCATCCTACTGTAACTCTGTAAGCTATGGCAATCGTAGTACCTCCATATTAGAGGAATCTGAGACACGGGGTCTAGCCTGTTATGTTTTGTTGTATGTTAATTATTTACTCCAGGGCTATTTTTGTGCAGAAACACACAGGAACGGAGTTCCGGCTGGCTCCCGAGTTGGCCACGCCCAGCAGGAACTCATTAGCATAACAGGCCACACCCAACAGCAGGAACTCATTAGGACTGGCTACATTAGGGGTGTGTGGCCTAACATGCAAAGGAGTTCCTGCTACGAAAAAAGCCCTGGGTTTTGACAACAAACAAGGTAAACAGAATAACAAGCAAAAGGTGAGTGTGGCTGGATAACCACACTTCTGGTAATGTGGGAGTGTGGCCTATTTTGCTAATGAGTTCCTGCTGGGCTTTTTCTACAAAAAGAGCCATGTTAGTTTCTCCCACCCTTGTGCCCCCACCATTTTACCGTTTAGTCCTTAATTAGCACGGGGTCAATTTGGTACTGGGGGGTTGAGTGTAAGGTTTCTGTACAATGGAGTCCCAGATTTATACCACTCCCCCGGGGACCGCAGTCAATTTGCCGTTCCTTCTCCCAACTGAGGTGTCCTGTCAGGACCGCAGACGAATTGAGGGGGGGGGGGTGGTCTGTTCTAATCTATTCATAGCTTTTGTGCTAAGAGTGGGCGAGGCCTTTGAATAAATAATCAAACTGTCAAGATTCCTGTGAAGATTACTTGAGATGAAGAGGTTAGCTGAAACAGGAAACGGGCGTCTTGACCGAAACTTTGGCAGATTGATGATCTCTATGTTTGGATTTAGATATTAGCTAATGTCGTGGGGGGGGGGGGACCCAGTGTTTCCCCTTTGTTTACATATTGCATCCCATACATGTATATCCTACTCTTAATCCAGTGAATTCAAGATAAGTGTAAAAATATGAGAGCTTTATCCATGTGCAACAGCCTTATGGGGTAGGTTTAGGCTGAGATATAGAGAGTCACACAAAGGCACTGACATTGCTGTAGTATGTTTACTTTGAAGTAAGCTCTACTAAGCAGATGTGCATTCAGCTGCATCCGTATAGTACCATCCTAGACAGCTACATTCTTCTAACTCATCCGCTTCATGCTAGAGTAGGGATTTGAACGCAGAGCATCCTAGTCCTTAACCATTGCACCACACGGGTTGTCCTTATATTTAAACTATTTTCTGTCCCTAACAGTTCTGTAATGACATACAGCCGGATGAAATGTCCCCTGCCAATTTTCAACAGAACTGAACTTATTCCTGGAAACGCAGGAGCAAATCCCTGTGAAAAATGTTAATTGTGTCCCATGACACACACACACACCCCCGCCACAAAACAGTCCCTTCATTTTAGCATGTGTTTCCTGCCAACTTCCAGTGGGAATAATTTAATTGGAAAATATTAAATGAAAAAGCAAACGCAGGAATTAATGATGAAATGAAATAAAAGCCAGTTAAAATCAGCAAGGGGGGGAGAATCTGGACTGTCCTGAAGTTGTTGTATATTCATAATGTCTTGGATTACATAAAATCTGGCCCTGTTAATTATATATTTCAGACGCCTGTTTTTATTTATTTACTTGCATTTTCTACTGCTCTTCCCCAAAGGAATTAAGGGTGGCATTACAGTGTTCCCTCTAAGCTGAGTTAGTGTGAGCTAGCTCGCAGTTTTTTAGCCTCCGGCTCACACATTTTTGTCTCAGCTCAGGAAGGAAGGCTCCAGAGCAAACTAATTTATGCGGTAGCTAAATCACTCGCTCACAACTTTAATGCCAGTAGCTCACCAAGTAGAATTTTTGCTCACAAGACTCCACAGCTTAGAGGGAACATTGGTGGCATACATCTTTTTCTGCTCCTCCACTTTTTCTCCTCACAAAAATCCTGTGAGGTAAGTTAGGATGAGAGAGCTAGAGAATGACTGACCCAGGTGAGGACTCGATTCTCGTTCTCCCCCATTTCAGTGAGGTAGTTCATTTTAATTTTTTTTACCATAACTAACTGTTGGTGGTTATATCCTGTCACTCTCAGTATTCATGTTGATGGTACTATCTAAGTTAAAAGATAACCTTGCATATCTGTTGGTATGTGTCAGACCCTGTGATCCTTTATGGGACAGTGACCTGTTTTTTCTCACATTTTTGGTGGTGGAAAGTGCCGTCAAGTCACAGCTGACTCATGGTGACCGTGTAGGGTTTTCAAGACAAGAGACGTTCAGAGATGTGGTTTACCATTGCCCGTCACAGCCCTGGTATTCCTTGGAGGTCTCCCGACCAAATACTAGCCATAGCCGACCCTGCTTAGTATCTGCTTAGACCGGGCTGTCCTTCCAAGAGGTTCAGGCCCAATGTCGTTACCGAAGCAAGGAAGTATCCTTTGAGAAGCAGCTTCTCTTTGTTTTGGTCTCTTACTGCCTCAGTAGGAACTGTGGTGGCTCAAGTGGTTAAGACGCTGAACTGCAGGCTGTGGAAGGTCAGTAGTTCAGCAGTTCGAGACCCGAGTGTGCCACATGACGGAGTGAGCTCCCGTCTCTAGTTCCAGCTCCTGCCAGCCTAGCAGATCGAAAGCAAGAAATTGCAAGTAGATAAATAGGTACCACTTCGGTGGGAAGGGAACAGCGTTCCGTGCGCCTTGGTGTTTAGTCACATGACCACGGAAACGTCTTCGGACAGCGCTGGCTCTTCGGCTTTGAAACGGAGATGAGCACCGCAACCCTAGAGTCGAACTCGACCGGCTTTCGAGCAAGGGAACCTTTACCTTTACTTACTGCCTCAGTAATGAACCAGGCCTCAAATCTTTCCTCTGGAATTCAGGGTCGCTCTACTCATTTATATTCATTTACAGCTGCAAGAATCCAATACGGACCGACAGCTGATTGAGACCTCTCCTGTCCTCCAAAAACTGACTGACTTTGAAGATGCCATCGGAGTGATTTTTACTCACGTTCGACTTCTGGCCAGAGCTTTCACTTTAAGGACTGTTGGATTTAACCATCTGACTCTGTAAGTTTTTTTTTAATGCTCAATTTCATGTGTTGCCTTTTAGACAGGCAAACCGAGGAACTCGTGTGCCTTGTAAAATTGGGTCTGTGGCTCTCATGTTCCCACCCTCATAAGTTGTTTTGTGAACCAAGGGAGATGATAGAGTCATATAACCCATGACAGTAGCGGCGGCCTGGAAATCACCTTCACCGCCAACTATATCAGCATGGCAAGAAAAGGTCTGGGACCAATTCGTGATGGCGAAAATCACAGACTCACTGAATAGAGTGAATAACATTAATACCCCAACACATTCTAAGTTTGTTCGGATTTGGGCGCCAGTTCTGGCATATAGGACAAGTAATGCAATTCTTCCTTCTAGACAAATATATCATAAATGGTTGTATTTAGAGAACTCTCTGAGAAAAAACAGGTCTTAAACATATGTGATAATCTTCAGCTCACAAGGTTATCCCTTTAAGCTCATAGCTGTTACACAGGAACACACCTCTTTTAATTGTCAAGTACGAGTGCTTTATAGGTTGTGATGTATTTATTTGCGATGCATGTCAGTGTACAAAATGACAGTGTTCTAATGGGTTGAATTGTGTTATGTATAGTCAAAAATTAATAATTAATAAAAACATTAAAAAAAATAAGCCATGACTTCCCGGATTCTATAGATCGAATTCTGTCATAGGGATGCCAGCCTCCAGGTGGGGCCTGGGGATCCCCTGGAATTTCAGCTCATCTCCAGACTGCAGAGGTCAGGCCCCCTGGAGAAAATGGAGGCTTTGAGGGCTGGGCTGTGTGTCATTGTACCCCACTGAGGTCCCTGTCCTCCTCAGGCTCCATCCCCAGATCTCCAGAAGTTTCACAGCCAGGACCCGAGGAATTTGAAAAATAAATAAATAAGTTAAAATAAATAAACCCTGCCCCTCCCTCCCCTGCCCATGGTGGTGGGGGGACTTGGCACCCTTAAATTCTGAGTATGGCCCCAGAAGCCCAACAGCGGGCCAGACACAGAAAGGGACATGTTTAGACAAATATGGGGGGAGCACCCAGGTTTACAGAAAAACCTTAATTTTTAAAAAAGGGGAGGAACAAAATAAAAACAAGGCTTGAAATGCCAAGATTCAAGATCTTGCATGATTAACTCACAAGGTTTTGGCAGCTTATTTTGGACCATCCAGGCAACTGGAGGGCATTAAAGAATAATCGAGTCTGTAATTTAAAATAAAAAATTCCACGCAACTGTGGGCAGCGTCACTAAATTTACAGAAAAAACTTAATTTCAAAAAAGGGGAGGAAAAAAATAAAAACAAGGCTTGAAATGCCAAGGTCCAAGATCTTGCATGATTAACTCACAAGGTTTTGGCAGCTTATTTTGGACCATCCAGGCAACTGGAGGGCATCGAAGAATAATCGAGTCTGTAATTTAAAATAAAAAATTCCACGCAACTGTGGGCAGCGTCACTAATATTACCTGTGATCACTTAGGTAATCCAACATGGCTGCTGCAGGGGAGTTGGCAGGGAGAAGAAATGTGTGGGCAAGAGAGACAAGAAGGAAGATTGGGTGGGGTGGGGAACAGAGCCAGAGTGGAGAGGGAGAGGGAAGAAGAATGGAGCAAGAAGAGGGAGGAAATGAGGGCTGGAGGGAGGGAAGGAAGCAGGGAAAGGGGAAGAGGACTGGAGGAAGGGCTGAAAGGAAAGCAGCCGGTAGGAAGAACTGGGAAAAGGTAGGTGGGTGGGAAGGAAGGAAGGAAGCAGGCAAAGGGGAAGAGGACTGGAGGAAGGGCTGAAAGGAAAGCAGCCAGTAGGAAGAACTGGGAATAGGTAGGTAGGTGGGAAGGAAGGAAGCAGGCAAAGGGGAAGAGTAGCAGGGACTACAGGGGAAGGGGAAGGAAGGAAAACGGGTAGCACAGAGAAGAGGCCTCGCAGCCCCCCCCATCTCCTGTTTTGTAGTAAGGGGCGTAAGAGGAATGGAGGGACATACACGGGCCCAAGACCTTCTCACAGTGGTAGGGGATTGGGAGGATGTTGCCCAGATAGCCTGCTGCTTTCATACCCCCACGCAACCTAAAAGAATGGTTCAGAAATCTGAACTGCAAAAATTTATTTATTTATTTATTTATTAGATTTGTACCCTGCCCTCCCCAACGAGCTCAGGGCTGCTACAACAGAGGCAATAGCCATAACAACAGTTAAAACAACATAAAAGCAATCATTAAACAGTATAAAACAATCAATTAAGTAAAGTGCGGTGCTCTTGATGTTAGAGTTTTCTTAATCCAAGATGAGTTCCGTTCATCAACCTGACCTGACAACATACATTCTTCGGTTGACTAGGCGTCTGCCCAGGGCCGGCTCACCTCCAGATCTAATAATAATAATAAAATAATGGAGCAGAAGAGTCGATGCTCTCGTCTTCAAGTTTTGTTTGCAAAACTGTGTTAGGTTCTAAACAGGCCCCTGTTTTGGATTTGAATTTAACAGTAACTTCCTTAGTGGGTGGACTCAGCTGAAGTGGTTTTGTGGTAACTTGTCACGTTCATATTCTATCTCTACTAATAGGCACTCCTTGCATCTAGTTTTGTATCTTGGAAGCTTCCATGTAACCAGGTTGAATTTTTCAACTTCATATACTTGGGACAGCCGGGGTGGGGGTGGGGGGGAAGGCGCTCATATCTGCTATGGTTATGTTTTGCTGCGTAGCATCACGTGCAACGTTTGAACTTTGCAAAGAATAATCTGACAGTTGTTGAACCAGGCAGTTGGCCACAAAGGCTTGTGCCACGTAATAATGAATAATAATGAATAATTATTGTATGGCATTGTGTGTGGTATAGCCAGGAGATCCGAAAATTGTCCTGCAGCCTTAAGTTCTAACTCTTTTAGCGAGCTAGACTTATTTGGGGAGGGGGGGCTGAGAGAGCTCTGAGAGTTGTAACTGACCCAAGGTCACCCACCTGCCTTCATGTGGAGGAGTGCAGAGTCAAACCCGGTGTTGGCAGAAAAAATGTGGGTGTGTGGCTGCACATGTCTGTGAAAGCGTGTTTACCCATGTCACCCACATTTTTCCCCCTCAGTTCGTGTGTGTCTCCTGAGTGTCACCCCTTACCAAAGGCAGAGGTGCAAGCTTGGAAATCACTAAGGTCTCTTCTTAAAATAAAACTAATCTTTATTATAGAAAAACATTCAGAGTTCTAGTTCCTAAACATTGATAGAATACACAGAAAAACAAACATGCAAGCAAAGATTTCCCCCACCCCATGGCATGCAGAACGAGAGGCCTCTCGGACTGACTCCTACCAAGAGTCAGCAAGGGTCTGTTGTAACTGACCAATATTTATACCAAAGATCAAAGGGGTCCCTCAATAACTGGATTACAGTTGTAAATTAACATTTAGAAGTTGAAAGTGTCTTGCAGGAAATTTGTTGCTTCCTTTCCTTGGTCTTTTATCTAAATGATGAAGCAGTGTTAGGTGATTTTGTAATCTTGGTATGTTTTCTCGCTATTTCTTGTGCAGCTAAATGTATCCCTTCTCTATTTTCCTTTGGAATCAAAATAGTCTCTAGCTCCACAGCAGCTATCTAATGGCTTCCTGCAGCCAATTGTGTTTGGGTCCTTTTAAACCCAAAAATGGGGGATTGTGGAAAGAAATTTCAGAAATATAGAGGGTTTGGGTTTAAAATGAACCAAATAGTTTATGAAATCCATATACATATCTGTCTCTGCCCTGGCTAAAAAAAACCCAGGCTTGACCTTTCTTTCACTGAAGATGTAACACATTCAATTCCCAGGAAATTCCCAGGGAAACTCCACAGATGTGAAACTTGCCAATACCCCCAATTTCCTAGACAATAAAATGTGTGGCCATTTGGGCAGCTGGCAAGACAAGCTAACTTCCTGAAATACAAAGAGTTCACCCCCCCGCTTTCATCTCTCTGATAACATCAAAGGACAGTTTATTTCCCATATTGGGGAACACCTGGAAGAAACTATGACACTGTATTGATCCTGTAAAATGTGTAAACTTTCGTTGTATAAGACCAAGGAAAGGAAGCAACAAATTTCCTGCAAGACACTTTCAACTTCTAAATGTTAATTTACAACTGTAATCCAGTTATTGAGGGACCCCTTTGATCTTTGGTATAAATATTGGTCAGTTACAACAGACCCTTGCTGACTCTTGGTAGGAGTCAGTCCGAGAGGCCTCTCGTTCTGCATGCCATGGGGTGGGGGAAAACTTTGCTTGCATGTTTGTTTTTCTGTGTATTCTATCAATGTTTAGGAACTAGGACTCTGAATGTTTTTCTATAATAAAGATTAGTTTTATTTTAAGAAGAGACCTTAGTGATTTCCAAGCTTGCACCTCTGCCTTTGGTAAGGGGCGACACTCAGGAGACACACACGAACTGAGGGGGGGAAAGTGTGGGTGACATGGGTAAACACGCTTTCACAGACATGTGCAGCCACACACCCACATTTTTTCTGCCAACACCCGGTTCTTCAGATTAGAATCTGCTGCTTTTAACCACTATACCACGCTGTCTCTCGGCTCGTGCCGTAAGAAACCAGGTAGTCCTTCTGAGAAAGTAATGTGTTCAGCCTTGACCAGAAGGCCTGTAACGACAGCATCGGCTTCATTTTAACTGCTTTGTCCAGTGAAGCCTTAGTGTTCTGTGAGATTATAATGATTCACCGTTCAAGCCCCATCACAGAAGTAAAATCCCCAGCATTCCTTGGGAGCAAGATTTAGGCCCCGGTCACATGGAGCATTAGGCACACTAGAGAGACGGAAGATAGGCGGATTTTCCGGGCGCGATCACACCGCCACATCTGGGAAGCGTAGAGCTCCCGTGGCAAACTCGAGGCTTCCCGCCGAAGATGTGCGGTTAAAAACTAGTACCTCGGAGGTACTAGTTTCCGGTAACCGCCGGGCAAGTGCGGGGGTCTG